TATATATATACATATATATATATATATATATATATACACACACACACACACACACACACACACATATATAGTGTGTATATAGTGTGTGGAACATAGAAATTCTTTCAGGTGTCTGTTTCATTGGCAAAAGATAATAAGCATACTTATCTTGTTTATACACACACACACACACATACACACACACACACACACATATAGTCAGACATGTATATGGACTGATGTTTCAATCAGACCTGACAGTTTTGTTTTAAAGTATTTTATAACTTCATGTTTTCCATTGTTCATCCTTTAAGCCTAGTTTTAGTTATTAAAAAAAAAAAGTAAAAAGGCATGGAGTGCCATTAATTGAAGAAAGACCTTTCTATTCTGGATTAAATTTACTTACTTATCTCCCTTAACCAGAAAGCAACAAATTTATAAAAGTGATAGGAAAAAATACTTCATTATACATGGTTTTTAGAAAACTCACTAGTGTTTATTACTATCAAGCACCTGAGAGGGGAAAGAAAGAAATAAAACAAGAACTATATAAAGAATTAAGTTCAGCCGGGCGCCGGTGGCTCATGCCTGTAATCCTAGCTACTCAGGAGGCTAAGATCTGAAGATCGCGGTTCAAAGCCAGCCCAGGCAGGGAAGGCTATGAGACTCTCATCTCTAATAAACCACCAGAAAACCGGAAGTGGCACTGTAGCTCAAGTGGCAGAGCGCTAGCCTTGAGCTGAAGAGCTGAGGGACAACGCCCAGGCCTAGAGTTCAAGCCCAGGACCACCACCACCAACAACAACAACAAAAAAGGGATTAAGTTCAAAGTGTGTTGTGGAGCTGCCTTAGGACTCCAGCTCTTTCATGAGCATTTTTGAATCTCTAGCAAAATCAACACATACAACAAAGAAGGCAAAGACTAATCAAAACATGCTTTTTCCATGTGCTGTGGTAGAAAAGTGTCCAATACAGCAAGCAGCTTGGCAAGTGCTGTGGGCAGGTCCCCCTTAGCACTTTTCAGAGTGCTTTCCAACAAATTAGCTCTCCAAATCACAACATCTCACATATTGTGACCAGAAGGTATAAGACCCTTTTCTGAACAGAGAATACTTTTCTGGTCTTTCTAAACATTGTTGTCAACTATAGAAAAAAATAGAAAAATGTATTTTATTACAAATACTACTTAGGATAAGCAATTCTTTAGAATCATATGATCCACAGACATCCAGTTACCTGCAATACTGTCTCAGTTATACAGGTACTTGTGACAATGCACTTCTTCTATTACACTCTGTACTATACTACCTGTTAATAGATAAGAACATACTAAACAGCACCTCATAGTTACTGCACTATCATGAACACATCCTTGTAATCCCACACATTTCCAAGTTAACCTCCAAGCATATAAGAAAAGCCTTTCCTTTTCTTTGTAAAACATAAGCACAATCTGCCGATAATGTCCAACAGAAGCAGCCTTTCCCAAGAGAATCAAGGCAATAAACTCAAAGCAAATGTTGTGTTTGAGGTACCTAGGAAAGTACCCAAAACTGTCTTAGCTGAGAAACCCAAAGGTTTTTGGCATATAACAGAAGGAGCTTAAGGAATTGAATGATCTTCCTTATTGGAACTCCTTCCTTGTCTACTTAAATAAATAGTGCTTACATCTATAGAAAGAGGCAGAAAACTACAGCTGAACCCTATTTTACTCCAAAAACACAGTACATTTATCCTGAGGAGATATGGACAAATTGGATTAATTGAGAAAAAAAGTTCTATTCATCTCATTAATTTCTCAGAAGTAGAAATGTGGCTCAAGTGTTACAGTACTAACCATGAGTGAAAAGGCCAAGCAAGAATACCAGGCCCTGGGTTCAAGCTCTTATACAGCACACACAAAAAAAAAGTTAAAACAAAGAGGGAGATGTATTTTTAATAAATACTTGCTTTTTATGTCTAAAATTTATGAAAATGTATAATACTTTTCTGTTCTAATTAATTACTTGGTAGCAATCACACCTAGACTCAACAATTTGTGTGTTCAGATTTCAAGATACCAAAATTTAAAAGCTATTTATATGAATGACATTTTATGCATAAATATATTTTACTAGTAAAAATTTAAGATAAAATTTTATGGAGAAACTACAATAGAATAAAAGTTTAAGAACCAAAAAGAATAAAGTTTCAGCCAGCGAGGCCCACTTACATTATTTCTAATACCGTATAATCTACAGAGTTTTCACATATTCTGTTTTGGTCCTATGACAATCCTGAGAGTTGGGGTAAAAGATAGTTTATTCTCAATTTACAGCTAAGTGTACTGCTATGATTTGGATATGGTCCATTTTACACCAAGGGTCCATGTGTTAGGAGTGTGGTCCTCAGAATGACAATATTAGGAGATGATGCAGAAGCTTTAAAGCTAGTGGACACTGCCCTGGGAAGGAATTGATATAGTTCTCCTACAGCCTTTATTAGTTCTCTCAAGAGGTTGTTACAAAAGAGCAAGCTTGACTCCTCCCCGGCTCTTCCACTTCCTGTCTTGCCATGTGATGCTGCCTTTTCTGCCCATATGATGCCATCTACCTCCTCACCAGGGCTAAGCCGATTAGCAGCACTGTGCCCTTCAATCTCTAAGACTGTGAGTAAAATAAACCTCTTTTTTAAATTTATTATGTACCTTCAGGTATTTTACTATAGTAAAAGTGAACACACACACACACACACACACACACACACACACACACACACACACACACACTTCAGAAAACTAAATTATTTGACCCATTTATTAACAAGAGATATAGGACCTAAATCTTTGTTTTGACTACAAAGGTAGCTAGCTATCTGTTCCATACCATCACATCCCATTTATAATAGCTTTTGAAAACCTCACATTAATTTCAAATTCGCCAATTTGTGTTTGATTCAATTCTCAGCCTACGGCTCATAGATCTCACTATCCCTCTCCCATAATAAAGAATTCAATACACACATCTGGAGAAGCATATGTCGCTCTAATTACAAAGAAATCCTGATCATGGGCAGCAGAAGATGGATGATATTATTACTAAGGAAAAGTAATAGTGTTTGAGGTCTAATACAAAGAACCCAAACAATAAAGCTTTACATTTCCATCTAACAAGCAAGAATAAAATTCTCCCTCATCTACCCATGAGTATTAGTTCCTGTTGTAACAAACTGCCATAAACTTAATGGCATCAAAGAACAAAAATTTATTATCTTACACTTAATAGAGGTCTGAGTCTAAATCAAAACATAGGGAGGGCTGCCCTTCTAAAGGATCTGGGGAAAATCAATTCCCTTGCTCTTTCCAGTTTCCAGAGAGCTGCCTTCATTCCTTGGCTCAAAGGCCTTCTTGCAGTAATTGCACCACTTTAACCTCTTCTTCCACTGTCACATTTTCTGACTCTCCAGACTTCCCCTTTCACATACAAGGACACTTGTGTTTTCACTGCTAAATCTTTCCAGGAAAATTTGGCAAACTGGATAAGATCAAGAAACTGTATTTTTCTCTGCTAGGATAAGTATTATTTATAAAATGAGTGTAATTTAAGGTATCTACTAGAACCTTCAATTTAATCTTTCAGTATGTATTTATAGTTATGCTATAGTGGCCTGAGACCTACATGTGATAGAATTCAATCAACTTGTCAATATGTATCTGTTCCTTTTCTTTGAAATGTGCATTCATGACTATTTCTGTCTATGGAAGCACTACCTAATACTCCCAATTTTTACTTTTTCATTTGTTTTCTGGTGAAATCTTCCTGGGAGATAACGTTATAGAGCTAGCTCAAGAAAAATCATAAGTACACTATCAACAACTTTCTTCTTTCCTGCCTCTTCTCATCTTAGGACATGTCTTAGGTCAAAGCACAAAGACACCACTCAGAAAATATATTTCTCACTGAACACACCTCAGATGACCCAGAGGATATAAGCACTGATGAAGGAAGAAGAGGAAATATGTATTTCAACAGCAGCTGCACAGAATAAAAAAATAAAAGGCTAAAGGTATTACCTTAAAATATGGTATTTCTAAGGTAAATATAGGAGTATTTTGTATGATAAGGCTGTGAATGTCTGAGGTTAAGGGATTTCTCAGGCTAAATCAAAAGTCTCATTAAAAAATGTCCTTTCCATTCCTCAAAATCATCAGCCCCCAAGTCTTTTAAGTATTATGAATTTTTTAGTATCTCTACCATTAGAACAGATAGAAAGATTTTCAAGACACCCTATAAACAACTAATGTCAGAACCCAAAGATCACCTGTGCTCCACTCCTTCCATCAGGCTCAGGAACAAAAACTCCTACTTGTTTTTATTTTTAAGAGCTCAAACTATTTTTTAAACTTAGGTGATGGCTTTATTTTTTTTTTACTTTATACTTATTTCTTTTTTAACCATTTTCTGTCTTAAAGGTAATCAGGTAGCCAGGTGCTGGTGGCACACGCCTAGTACTCAGGAGGCTGAGATCTGAGGATCACAGTTTAAAGCCAAACCGGGCAAGAAAGTCCATGAGACTCTTACCTCCAGTTAACCACCAAAAATCCAGAAGTAGAGCTATGGCACAAAGTAGTAGAGTACTAGCCTTGAGCACAAAAGCTCAAAGACAGCACCCAGGCCCTGAGTTCAAGCCCCATGACCACCATCAACAATAACAACAAAAAGGTAATGTCTAACCACCTTCTTCTTGACACATTTGGCAACATATTCAGTCCTCCTAACATCACAAATGGAAAGTCATTTACAAAAATAGAAGCTAGATACCTTCTACAAAGGGGACATCATACAAGAAACTGTGAATCCATCAACTCTACAGACTTGTAAGCAGGAGGGAAGGCGAAAAATAGAACACAAAAAAGAGGTTTGAGGTTTTTAGTCATTTTCAGTTATAAAGAATCTAACTACCTAGAACCACATCCAGAAAGCCCAGAGATAAAGAGAGAAATTTATAACCAGAAAAATGTAATATAAAATCACTGGACTCACCGTCTGATGGCTTCTGTCACAGTAACGCAGCCCAAAATAATCTATCTCCATGAGATTTATGTGACGGAATACATGGTCAAGGACAACAGAACCTTTCGTTGACTTCTGCAAAAATAATTCACAGTTGTTGGTTGTTGTTGTTGTTGTTGTTGTTTTTTAATTTAACAAGTGTCTTGTCTTTCTCAGGGAGCCACATCACAGGGCTTGTGTTTTATTAGTTTCTCTCACAATGGACAGAATTTTATTTTACCATGGTATTCTCTGTAGGTTTTTGCCTCAGTTCCAAAGACAAATGTGGTTTAAAGCAAAGAGTATTAAAGAAATTGCTTTAGCAAAATAATCTTAAATTACAGTGAGTGTTAATGTAAGCTTCTTTTCTTAAGGGATTACGTATTATCTTCAGGACAGAATTCTTCTTCAAATAGAGATAATCCTTTTATATGAAGAATATCTACCAAATTAATCAAATACTGCTGTTGTTAAAAGTCCCACAGTTTTTCCATTTTAGAAAGCAATTTTCATCTATAACATTATTCTTAGAAGTATCTAACATAGAATATATACAAAATTTAAAGAATACTAGACAAAGCTTTTAATTTTCTCAAATAATAAATGCATAGATTAGACTGCTTCCGTTTATGTTCTGAAAAGCCCTTGTACGGATATTTCACTAGATCTCTTTCACCTAAATAGAGACACAAACAAAAAGCTGACATCTATTTAAAAAGTCAATCTCTTTTCTCCCCTTTCTCACTATGTACACAATTCCTTAAGACTCTTGCAGATGGGTCCCAATAGCTGGTACCTGCAATCCTAGCTAGCTACTCAAAAGACCAAACCTGGAGGATCAAGGTTTGAAGCCAGCTGTGCAGAAAAATCTATCTCAATCAGCAAAAAGCTGGGCTGAAGGCATGGCTCAAGTGGCAGAGCAATAGTCATGAGCAAGCAAACTGAGTTATCTTGACACCCTGAGTTCAAGCCTAGGTACTGTCAAAAGAATGAGGCCGGGCTCGGTGGCTCACGCCTATAATCCTAGCTACTCACAAGGCTGAGATCTAAGGATCGAGGTTCAAAGCCGAGCCCGGCAGGAAAGTCTGTGAGACTCTTAGCTTTAATAAACCACCAGAAAACCGGAAGTGGTGCTGTGGCTCAAGTAGTAGAGCCTAGTCTTGAGCTGAAGAGCTGAGGGACAGCGAGCACCCAGGCCCAGAGTTCAAGCCCCATGATTGCCAAGAAAAAAAAAAAGAATGAGAAAAAAAGAGAGAGAGGAAGGGAAGGTGGGAGGGAAAAGACTCATGCATACTCACAACTCTGGGATGATCCCACAACCATATAGGAAAAAATATTTTTTATCATATGATATCTTAAGCAATAATTATTCCCACATATAAGCAACAGTCAAGTATGTATCTACAAGTTTGTACTTAAAGTACATACCAAACTGACCTTGAAAGTGATACATTTCAATAGTGTAACTACAGAACAAATCAGACCTTCCCTTTCTTTTTTCCCATTACTGTCAGCTGTAAACAGGTAGCACAAGTCCCCAAGTCATGCATTGTAGCAAAACAACAAAGGCTTTTGTTCCATTGTATCTTTCCATACAGAACTACCATTATTACATGCTTACATATATAGGGGAACACTCCGTACTACACTGCTTATAGAAAATAGATTGTTAACCTAAGGGAAATGCTTTAATTAAATGTATTATAAAATGGTTGATACACAATGATAGATGATCACACCTGCAAAAGATAGTTTTGTTACAAATCCCATAAGTATTTTCTTTTCCTTAAAGTCATGATTAAATTTAATTCCCTTTTCAAGATTTCTGAACATGGGCTGGGAAGGTGGCTCAGTGGTAGAGTGCTTACCTTGCATGCATAAGGCCCTAGGTTCCATTCCGCAGCACCACATAAACAGAAAAAGCTGGAAGTGGCACTGTGGCTCAAGTGGTAGAGCCTTGAGCTGAAATGCTGAGGGGCAGTGCCCAAGCCCAGAGTTCAAGCCCCATGACCAAAAAAAAAAAAAAAAGATTGCTTAACAACTTACTGAAAAGCAAAAAAGGCCTTCCATGGTGGACTGGATATTTTCTGCTATAGTTACAAAAGTCTCATCCAGTCAATGTCTCTTTTTTAAATTATTTTTATTGTCATGATAAAGGTGATGTACAGAGGGGTTACAGTTACATAAATCAGATAAAGAGTCCTTTTCCTTTTGGACAATGTCACCCCTTCCCTCACTTTCCCTCAGTTTTTCCTCCCATCCCCACCAACAAGTTGTATAGTACATTTTCAACATAGTAGTCAATGTCTCTTTGTGCTCTGTCCCTGTGTATTTCTCCGAGGTAAAAATATGGGTATGAAGTCACTCACTGGAAGAACACGTGCTTAAAATTACACTGGGCACTGCCAAAAGGACCATCACAATTCATTCACAGGACTACATCCTCCTGTCCCTGGCAAAGAAACACTTGGACTGAGGGACAAAGGGGAAGGGGACTATTTTATTTTTTTATTTTCTTAACTATAACAAAAGCAATGCTCTTTTATGTGCTTACTAGCTTTAACTGCATGACCTAAGCATTCCCTAACCCAAAGTTTATGAGCAAATGCTCCTGCCTCTTTTGATAACTTACACAATTTTGTTTAGTATATTTAACTGCACTTCATTTAGAAAGTATTTTCGTGTTTGGGATAAAGGCCTAACTTTATTTCCTTATGGATACAAAACTGTGCCACCATTTCCTGACAAGACCATCATTTCTGTTTGGTTCAAACAACTTTATTATTTACTAATTACCCAATTTACCCCCCATATTTTAATAAATTTACTTCAATATTTTGTGTTTAATAACAATTTTCACAATTATATTTGTCAGTTCTTAGACATTTTTCTCAAAGAAACTTTTAGAGACAGCTTGCCAGTTTAATAAACAGTTCTACTGGGAATTTGGAATTTAATTAGATTGGCAGATGGGATGACTAGTAGGGGATGGGAACACTACAATATTTACCAAGTAAAATCTATGCAGCTTTTTCTTCTATGTTCCAAGGGAATTTTATGCTTTTTTATGTAGCTCTTTTCAAATTCCAATTAGATTTTATAACAGGCAAAATTTATAAAATTCCCTTTCTTGACTAAAGCCGTCCAGTTATCATCTCTGGAACCTGTGGCTATGATGAAATATCACCCCAGTGGTAGTATTATGTTAGATGGCACAATGACCTTATGATAGGAAGGTTATCAGAATAAGCCTAATCAAATCACAAGGGCTCCAAAACTCAAAGCATTTTCTACAGTAGAATAGTTAGATAGGAAAAAAAATCAAAGACATTTAAAGCTTAAGAAGTTTTCCACATGTCCATGCCACTGGAAAGAAGGAGGGATCATCTGAAAAGCCATGTGAGCAGCCAGACAAGGCAAGCAGCAATGTGAGCACAGCTGACAGCCAGAGAGGAAAAGAAAATTCAGTCCCAGATCACAAAAATAGGATTATGCTAACCACCTGAAAAAGATTGGGAGCAGATATTTTTCCCCAGACTGGTCAGATAAGAGACAAGTAAATTTGCATCTTAACTTAGATGGTCCCTCCCTAAGAAGAGAACCTAGGGAAATGGTGCTGTGGCTCAAGTGGTAGAAAGCTCGCCTTGAGCTGTAAGAGCTCAGAAACAGAGCGAGGCCCACAGTTCAAGCCCCACGACGAAGGAAGGAAAGGAAGGAAGGAAGGAAGAGAAGGAAGGAAGGGAGGGAGGGAGGGGGGGAAAGGGGGGAAGGGAGGGAGGGGAGAGGAGGGAGGGAGGGAGGGAAGGGGGAAAGGAGGGAGGGGAGGGGAGGGAGGGAGGGAGGGAGGAAGGAAGGAAGGAAGGAAGGAAGGAAGGAAGGAGAAAGAAAGAGAGAAAGAGGGAGAGAAAGAAAAGAAAGAAAGAAAGAAAGAAAGAAAGAAAGAAAGAAAGAAAGAAAGAAAGAAAGAAAGAAAGAAAGAAAGAAAGAAAGAAAAGAAAGAAAAAGAAAGAAAGAAGAAAGAGAAAGAGAAAGAAAGAGAGAAAGAGAGAGAAAGAAAGAAAGAAAGAAAGAAAGAAAGAAAGAAAGAAAGAAAGAAAGAAAGAAAGAAAGAAAGAAAGAAAGAAAGAAAGAAAGAAAGAAAGGAAGGAAGGAAGGAAGGAAGGAAGGAAGGAGGAAGGAAGGAAGGAAGGAAGGAAGAAAAGGAAGGAAGGAAGGAAGGAAGAAAGCAAGCAAGCAAGCAAGCAAGCAAGCAAGCTGGGCGCTGGTGGCACGCCTGTAATCCTAGCTACTCAGGAGGCTGAGAGCTGAGGATCTTGGTTCAAAGCCAGTCCAGGAAGAAGGGGGAGGGAGGAGGATCCAGCCATGTTATTCTGGACTTCTGGCTATGAAACCTGGAGAGAGTAAATGCTTAAGCCACTGTGTATGTGGTAATTACTTCTGGGACAATGGACACTAATACAGACTTCAGTCTTAGGTATTTTGTAGTTTTATTGATATTACAGTGTCTGTCTATTGCTAATATAATATAAAAACACATTAGTCTTATTTCCAAACAGCTTGTTAATCTCATTAATTAAACCAGTCTATACAGTGTTTCCATATAACCACATTTTCTGTAAGAGTTCTGGCCCTTCCTTTACAAGACAACCTCTGCATATTACTGCATTGGCTAGGATCTCAAAGAGTCATTGATAGCTGTGAAGGCGTACATCCTTCTCTCCTTGTAAACTTTCACCAAGTATGATGTCTATTGCTTTATATATTCTCTATCAAATAAAAGGCCCTTCCTATTCTGCTTTTTCTGTCTTTTGTGTCGGTTTGTAATCAAGAATGGATAATCATTCTGCTGAGTGTTTTTTAGAAGTCTGACACAAGTATACAATTTTTGTCTTTTCATCTGTGGGTTACAGTAAGAGATTTTGACCTGAAACATTCTTAATAGAGATGTTTCTATTTTAGTTCTTTTGTTTGGGGTATTTGGAAAGAATTCTCCACTACATGAGTCTTGATTGAGACAGGAACCAGAGTCCCCAATCACTGCCAGACATGCTACAGGCACATGACCTGGTTTTCAGCCATGGGCTTAACTTCTGGAC